TGTAGCCAGAGATTAGGGATGGTGGGGATAGTGGTAGGTTTGGCTATAAAGGGATAGCAAGGATCAGCTTTGTGGTAATAGGGCAATTCTGTATTTTGATTGTGGTGATATGTAATGAAGCTACACTTATGATAAAATTGCTTGAAACTACACATACACACATACACCCATACACACGTGAGTGTATGTACAATTGGTAAAATCGAAGTAAGTTCTGTGGATTTTACCAGTGCAATTTTCTTTTCATAGTATGCTACAGTTGTACAAAATGTCAACAAGGGGAGAAGTGAGGTGGGGTTAAGGTTGGATAGGAACTCCCTACACAGTTTCTTTGCAACTTTCTGTAAAGCTATACTTATTTCAAAATAAAAACTTTTTAGTTTTTTTCTTTGTTTGTTTTTTTGAGACGGAGTCTTGCTCTGTTGCCCAGGCTGGAGTGCAGTGGCATGATCTCTACTCATTGCAACCTCCACTTCCCAGATTCAAGCAATTCTCCTGCCTCAGCCTCCTGAGTAGCTGGGATTACAGGCACGTGCCACCACCCTCAGCTAATTTTTGTATTTTTGGTAGAGATGGGGTTTTGCCATGTTGGCCAGGCTGGTCTTGAACTCCTGACCTCAGGTGATCCACGCACCTTGGCCTGCTAAATTGCTGGGATTACAGGCATGAGCCACTGCGCCTGTTCTTTTAGTACTTTTGTTTTGTTTTGTTTTGTTTTTAAGTTGTGTACAGTTTTTTATTTCTTTAGTAAATCTAGTCACTGAGTCTTTTTCCCTATTATTGTAATAAAACTGTGAAGTTTTGTGAATTAATCACACTGTGTTTGTAATATCAGAATGCTTGATAATAAGGTTATAGAGGTTTCCTAATTATATAACAAACTAACATAATTTTGAGTTCATTTGCCTAAGCTCACAGGACAAAAAAAAAAAAAAAAACTTATAAAGGTAAAGAAATTGATTGCATGAGGCTAATAGTAATAATTGTACTTGCATTAGCTAGTGAATTATTTATTACCACTTATTCTAGAAGCTAAAAACATGTATTTTGATAATAGTACAAACATTATAAATAACAAATATGCTAAAATATAGTGTGATGGGCTGAATTGTGTCCCCCCCCCCAAATTCATACATTAAAATGTTAAAGTCCTAATCCCCAGTACCTCCTTTTGTAACTGTATTTGGAGGTGAGGTTTTTAAAGAGGTGATCAGGGTAGCCCCTAATCCAATCTGACTGGTGTCATAAGAAGAAGAGTTCTGTACACAGACACCATGTGAATACACAGGGAAAAGGCAGCCACCTGCAAGCCAAGGAGACCTGGAACAGATCCTTCCTTCACCATCCTAGAAGGAACCAATCCTGCTGACATCTTGATCTCAGACTTCTGGTCTCTGGAGCTGTGAGAAAATAAATTTCTGTTGTTTAAGCCACTTAATCTATGGTACTTTCTTTTGCCAGTCCTAGCAAACTAATAAATGTAGTAAACCCCCTACATATTGCCCAATATTAGTCAGCTACTTTAAAAGATTTGCATGTTAAAATTAAGTTGTTTTAAAATCAAAGTCCAAAACAGAAACAACATTCCTAGAAAAGGAATTGCTTAATATTTTCTTGCTGATAATGTATGCTAAATATTGAGTAGCAGGTATGAGTAAAATATTTCCTATTCTTCCAGCAAATGAATATCACTTTATGTAATCAATATTTTTAAACTGAAGTTTTTATAGAAGAAATTTTCTTAAACAAGAGCATACTTATTTTAATAAAAGAAATTTCAGAAAATATATTTTTTACCAAGGCAGAGTATTTGTCAGGTTAATTCTACTCCCAAAACAACTATTGACTGAACTTTTAAAATTCAGATCTAGAATTAGGCTTAGAAATGTAGTCCATATTTTTCACAAAATTGATGAAATTAGGGATAGATAGAATTGATCAATTTGTTCAATCAAAAATGTTTCTTTTGGATATGTGTTTTAACTGCCTAACTTTGACATTTAAAAACGTGGGGTTCAGAATACCTACCTCTGAAATGAAGGATGAGATAAACACATATTCAGGAACTAGTAGTATATTAAAATCAATTTAGAAGCTTTGTTCAGCAATGCCTTTACTCATTTATTAGGTATTTATTGAGCTCTTGTTAATCCTAAAACATCATGGTAGAAATTAGGGAGTGTCAGAAATCGGTCAGGGTGGTAGTAAAAACTATAAGAAAGATGCAGACCTTCTTGGAAGGCCGAGAGGTATTGCAAGGCTTCTAAAAGGAATGAGCCTAAGGTGGCTGTCCTTACCCAGAGGCAATTAGGCAAGGAGTAGGTAGAAAGGAATGTAAGGGAGTTTATCTAAGTGGGTTCCTATCACCATAGGTACAGGAGTGTTTAGTTTACCCATGTTGTCTTAAGACAGAACTTTGATTATCCTTGTGCAGCACTGCTCTCTGCTTGGGAAGTGGGGGATCGGCACGGTTAATTACCCACTAGTGGTGTTTGAGACCTTTGTCATTAAATCTATTCTAAAATAAATATGAGCCTCTCCAGCATATGGGGGCTCCGTGGCTGGATTCTAGTCTTTTGGTCATCTGTGAGTCATGGGGTTCCCTGGCCATGCTCAGACAGGAAAAACACCTATGTCTCTGCACTTCTGTAATCCGTCACTCAGTCTGCCAGTCAGATTTGACATTGGGGGAAATAGAAATGAATATTATCTATGGTTTAAAATAACTTATAGTCCAATAGTACATCACATGTATGCATGTGATCAGTGCAATACAAATGATGTAAATTGCTGTGAGTTCCAGGAAGATGAAGATCGCATCCAGATCAGATCCGAAAAGACTTCTGCACAGAGGTAACATTTGAGCGATGATAGCTGAATATATGAGGTTAGGAGGACTTTCTTCATGGGGTGGTGCTGAGACAGGAAAGGTTCAAGGTGGATACAATGACCAATACAGGTTGACCTTGTGGGGATCTTAATTCCTGAACCCCAAATTAGGACACATGTCTGACAAGTATGGAATTGCGTAATGGCAAGGGTAGAATTGAATCTTTGACACCAGGATCGCCATAGGTACAGGAGTGTTTAGTTTGCAAAAGTAAGTTAGTTCATCTCCATTTTACTTTTTCCTAACTTCTTATTAGGAATGTTTGTAGCTTCTGTTAGTTTTGAAATCTTGATGTACTTTTCCATGTCTTAGAATATATTTTACAAATAAATTTGTATTGCAAATTTTATTCGTTTAATGTCACATAGAAAGTCACGTTGACATGCATATTTTAGAGTGTAGTATATGCTAACAGAGTCAGCCTGCTAACCTAAGCAGTGTAATTTTGGCAAATGATAAATAGGTGACAGCATGTGTGTGCTGCTGTGCAGTGTCATTTTGACTTAAACATATATATGGCTATGGTATGTTGTAGTTTATTCAGCCTTAAGAAGTCACCTTTTTGGCTACAAAAATACCCAGAAAGACTTTTTATGTATGTAGGGAAATTGTAACCCCGTTATTTTCTTTAACTCCATACTTTTAAAAAATTTTATGTACTGTGTGTTAGTAGTTTTCCTCCCACAAATGGGCGCATAGTCAAGCTTTTAGCAGCATATAGCTATTTTGAGGAAAACAATTCCCACATAAAATAATCATTGGACTATATTAGAATCATACTTATTTGGTTCCTGCTAATTTATTTCTCTAGGTTTTCCATTTTGAGCAGGAACTAAAAACGTAGAGAAGGTGCCAGACCTCTTGTGCTTATTCCCCAGGTCTATCATAAATACCACTTTTCTTCCCAGACATGCTTTCTACCCATGGAAACTTTTCTCTCCTTTTACTACATTCCTGATCCTCCTCATCATGATCCCATAAAACATGCACTCTTTTCTGTGCTCTATTCTAGCTCACTGCTTTACTTCTCCTATAACCATTTGCTGGCCATGTTACCTCTGCTGCATGTCTATCCTATGTATCTCTGCTTGTGGTCTTCACTGGTCCATGTGGGTGCTGTTTCTGCTGTGGTGGCACCAAGAGCAATAAATGAAGCTAACCATTTTTGACATCTCATCACATGTTGAATCTATCACATAGTCCAGAATGGACTAACCAAAGTAGGGAATTCCAAGTGAAATGTCTGGAAAAGCAGACTGTCCAAATTTTCATGTAAATCACATGGTCATAAATTCAATGAATTATGGTTGTACAAATTTTATAGTATTATTATCTTTGTGGGATGTGTGTTCATGTGTTTTAATGCTAGTTTAAGGCAATAGTGCAGAAAAGACTGATGAAGGTGGAGTTTGATAATTATTTTTCTGAAGGATAATATGCTCCATGCATTTCTCATGAAATTATATAAAATTAGCACATTTAAATCTAAGTAGACCTATAAAGATATTTTATTAAACCATCTAAATAGAGAGAATAATGACATAATTACTATGATGAATTCTGGCCTTATTTGTGGGAGGGACACAATTCTATTACAATCATTAAGATATTATTAACTAATGCTTTTTGCCCATATATTTATTAGACACTCCAGCCTTCTAGTGTACCTCTAAAACCTTCATAATTTGTAGAGAATGTGTTCTAGTTAATCCCTTAGAAATGCCACCCAACCAGCTCATGCTAGCACATTTAAATTTACTTTTCTGAATCATGTTGCCTAAAAAAAAATTTCAGTAAACCCCGGAACATTACACAGGTCTTATATTATTCATTTATGAGTATTTACAAAGCAAGTTGTATTAATACAATCTAAAAGCTAAAAACAATACTGCTAAAAGATTTCATGCATCATGTAGCAATAAAACTCCTTTTTCTCATTTTCAGAATGACTACTGAATTTAAATTTAACTTTTTAGTTAGATGTCATTATAATCTCATAAATGTCATCTTGCCTTTCAACTATTAATTTTCTAAAATAAACTAATCAATCCTTAGAGAAATGTTTTATGATTCAATTATTGCCGATTTGTAAACTTTGAATTTTTTACAGAAATAGACATACTGAATAAAAGTTTGACCGTATCCCAGAGAAATAATGTATGCCTTGAAAAGGAAATGAAAAATCTGAAATTGTTGTCAGATGCAGCCATATTGAGGTCTCAGCAGATTCAGACATCTAGACAACAGGAAGTAAACTTGCAAACCAGATGCTATGATTTGCAAAAAGAAGTACTAGGTAAAGAGAAGACTTTTTTGCTGTTTTTGGTGACTAGTTATATAACTACATGAGAAAATGTTTAAATTTTTACTTATAATTACAAAAAATCTTGTTTTAATTATTTTGAGCTGGAAATATACCTAATTATTAGCATCACCATGCTGATAACTATGCCTGTAGTCAATACTTGCTGTCATCCTTTCCAGTTTTGCCATTTAGTGTGGTAAGACTTAAGTAGGTATATAAAAGACATTTCAACTGCAATGTAAGATTTCAGAAAAATAAAGTGAAATTTACTTTGATAAATCTATGCTTTCCTATGTTTTCTTCTAAAAGTGAATCCAGATTTTTAGGCAATCCTTCATTTTTTCAAATGAAAAAATTAAAAGTGTTTGAAGCATCTTGGGCAAGGTTTTAAAATTTGTCTTCACCGCAGACGAATGAGTGTCTTGACAGTAAAGGTAAAGAGTTCGTAATTTTCCCTGAAGGCAGTAAGGGATTAATAAAATAGGTAATCAGGAGAATGATATCACAAAAGCAGTGTTTTGGAACAATTAATCTGTTAGTAATGGATAGAGGTGTTTCAAACATCAAGACACTGGAGCCAGGTAGCCATTTAGAAAATATATTTGCCGGTTTCCCAATCCCAAGACTAACCATAAGAAGATGAAGTAGGGAAGGGAACTCACATTTTTAAAGTCCTAAGTGTGCTAGACACTTTATATGAATTATTTCTATCTGTTCTCACAATGACCATGAAAAGCAGGTATAATTATCCCATCTTATGAAGGAGAGAACCAAGGCCCACAAAGTATCATGCCTGGTGCTACATACCTAGTAAATGGAAGAGAGTAAAGCAAATCTGGTGCTCATGCTTTACCCACTGTGTCTATTTAGCCTTCTCCGTGGCCCAGTGGGAAGGCTGAGATAGAATCAGGGTTGAGATAGCTACCCAAGACCAGGGGGGTGAATATCTGTCTGACTAAACACGGAAGAAAAGGAAGTCAGAAAGCACTCTGAACCACCTGTGCTCGGGAGTCTTTAATGATGGGAGCATACTACAGACTAGGGAAATCTGGAGAGAAGCTAGTGTTGGAAGAGAAGATAACAAGTCATCACATTAATTTTATAGCAGTATGCAACAGATAAAAATTTTAAAATCAGATAAAATTTAAAATAATGATATATTTTTATTTTCTTTCCTGAGAACTACCTATTCATAGATTCTGGAAATTTTCTATTACATTATTGGAATTTTTCTTGATAATTTTACAGCAGATTTTATACAGTACAGATATTATAATCTATAGTCAATTTTTTCTAATGCATAATTTATTGACTTTTTATGGTAAATTTTAACATGCAAACTTTTTTATTTAGGTATAATCAATAATTATCTTTTATTGTTTATGGGGAGTCTTATTAAACTAGTCCCATTCCTAGATAGTATATAAAGTATCCTGGGTTTTGTTTCCCAACTGAGTCATTAATACATATAGAATATAGAATTTATTTTTATTTTATTTAAAAAATGTAGTCAGCTATTTGAAATTTTTTGTTTTTAATTTTTGTGGGCACATAGTAGGGGTATATATTTATAGGATACATAATTGTTTTCATTGTTTTTAGTTTCTGCAAATAAGTGAGAACATGCAAAATTTGTCTTTCTCTGCCTGGCTTATTTCATTTAACATAATGACCTCCAGTTTCATCCATGTTGTTGTAAATGACTGTATCTCATTCTTTTTATGGCTGAATAGTACTCTATTGTGTATATGTAGCCCATTTTCTTTATCCATTCATTTTTTGTTGATGGACACTTGGGTTACTTTCAAATCTTGGCTATTGTGAATAATGCTGCAATAAACATAGGTGTATAGATATCTCTTTAATATACTGATTTCCTTTCTTTCTGTATTATAACTAGCAGTGAGATTCCTGGATCTTATAGTTCTACTTCTAGTTTTTTGAGAAACCTCCAAACTGTTCTCCATAGTGATTATACTAATTTACATTACCACCAACAGAAAAGAGTTCCCTTTTCTCCATATCCTTGCCAGAATTTCTATTGACTGTCATTTGGATAAAAACCACTTTAACTGAGGTGAGATTATATAGTTTTGATTTGTATTTCTCTGATGATCAGTGATATTGAGCACCTTTCCATCTACCTGTTTGCCATTTGAATGTCTTCTTTTAAGAAGTGTCTATTCAGATCTTTTGCCCTTTTTAAAATCAGGTTATTACATTTTTTTCCTATAGTGTTGTTTGAGCTGCTTATGTATTCTGGTTATTAATCCCTTGTCAGATGGATAATTTGCAAATATTTTCTCCCATTCTGTGGGTAGTCTCTTCACTTTGCTGATTGTTTCCTTTTTGGTGCAGAAGGTCTTTAACTTGATGTGATCCCATTTGTCATTTTTGCTTTTGCTGCTTGTGCTTGTGGAGTATTATTCAAGAAACCTTTGCCTCATCCAATGTCCTGGAGGGTTTCCCTGATGTTTTCTTTTAATAGTTTCATAGTTTGAGGTCTTAGATTTAAGTATTTAATCCATTGTGATGTGATGTTTGTATGTGGTAAGATATAGGGATCTAGTTTCATCCATCTGAATATGGATATCCTGTTTTTCCAAGAGCCTTTGCTGAAGAGACTGTCCTCCCCCAACCTATGTTCTCGGCACTTTTATCAAAAATGAGTTTACTATAAGTGCATGAAATTGTTTCTGTGTTTTCTGTGCTGTTCCTTTGGTCTCTGAGTCTGTTTTTATGTCAGTAGCCATGTTGTTTTGTTTACTATAGCTCTGTAGTATAACTTCAAATCAGGTAATGTGATATCTCCAGTTTTGTTATTTTTGTTCAGTATAATTTTGACTGTTCTGGGTCTTTTGTGATTCTATCTAAATTTTAAGATCATTTTTGCTATTTTGATGAAGAATGAGATTGGTATTTGACAGTGATTGTATTGCATCTGTAGATTGCTTTTGGGTAGTATGGGCATTTTAACAATACTGATTCTTCCAATATATGAAAATGATATACCTTTCCATTTTTTTGTGTGTCATCTTCCATTTCTTTTATCAGTGTTTTCATTGTGGAGCTCTTTTACTTCTTTGGTTCAGTTTATTCCTAGGTATTTTATTTCATTTGCAGCTATTGTAAATAGGATGATTTTCTCGATTTCTTTTTCAGATTGTTCACTGTTGTCACCTAGAAATGCTACTCATTTTTGTGTATTGACTCTGTATCCTGCAACTTTACTGAATTTGTGTATCAGTTCTAATAGTTTTTGTGGAGTCTTTAGGTTTTTCTAAATATAAGATTATATCATCTGCAAACAAGGATAATTTGACTTCTTTCTTTCCAATTTGGATGCCTTTTATTTTCTTATCTTCTCTGATTGCTCTAGCTAAGATTTTCAGCACTATATTGAATAATGGTGGTAAAATTGGGCATCCTTGTTGTGTTCCAGGCTTAGAGGAAAGACTTTTAGTTTTTCCCTCCTCAGTATGATATATGGCTTTTATTATGTTGAGATATGTTCATTCTATGCCCAGTGTTTTGAGGGTTCTGACCATGATGCGATATTGAGTTATATCAAATGCTTTTTCAGAATCAGTTGAAATGATCATATGGTTTTTGTCCTTCATTCTGCTGATATAATGTATCACACTGATTTGCTTATGTTGGACTGTCCTTGCTGCTTCTCTTTTATTATTGATCTGTTCAGGTTTTGGATTTCTTCATTGATCAATCTTGGTAGATTGTATGTATCTAGGAATTTATTCACTTCTTCCATGTTTTCCAATTTATTGGCATATAGTTGCTCATAGTGTCTTCTAATGATCCTTTGAATTTCTGTAGTATCAGTTGTAATGTCTCCTTTTTCATGTCTGATTGTATTTATCTGTGTCTTCTCTTTATTTTTTTCTTTGTTAATTGGGTTAAATGTTTGTTAATTTTGTTTATTTTTTCAAGAGACCAGCTTTTCATTTTGTTGATGTTTTGTATTTTTTTTCTTTTTTGTCTCAATTTCATTTACTTTTACTCTGATTTTTATTTCTTCTAATTTTGGACTTGGTTTTCTCTTGCTTTCTTTAAGATGCATTGTCATATTGATTTGAAACTGTCTACTTTTTTGATGTAGGTGCTTATTGCTATAAACTTTCTTCTTGGTACTGCCTTTGTTGGATCCCATAAGTTTTGCTATTTTGTGTTTCCATTTTAATTTGTTTCAAGAAATTTTAAAATTTACTTATTTATTTCTTCATTGATCCACTGGCCATTCAGGAACATACTATTTAATTTCCACATTTGTATGGTTTCCAAAATTCTTCTTGTTCTTGATTTCTAGTTTTATTCCATTTTGATCAGAGAAGATATTTGATATTATTTCAATTGTTTTGAATGTTTAAGACATGTTTTGAGCCTAACATGGTGTATCCTTGAAAATGATTCATGTGCTGAGAAGAATGTGTGTTCTGTAACCATTGGATGAAATGTTTGTTAAATTTCTTTTAGGTTCATTTATTCTATGCTTCAAATTAACTTTGAGGTTTCTTTGTTGAGTTTCTATCTGGGAGACTTGTGCTATGCTGAAAGTGGAATGTTGAAGTCTCCAGCTGTTATTGTACCGGAGTCTATCTTCCTTTTAACTCTAGTAATATTTGCTTTATATATGTGGGTGCTCCAGACTTGGGTGCATGTATATTTACAGTTATTACAACCTTATGCTGAATCAACCCCTTTATCATTATGTGGTGATTTCTTTGCCTCTTTTTATAGTTTTCGTTTTGAAATCTATTTTGTAGGATATAAGTATAGCTTTTTATGCTTTTTTTCCCATCCCTTTACTTTTGGTTTATTGTGTCTTTATAGGTGAAGTGTGTTCCTTGTAGGCAACAAATCATGGGATCTTATTTTTTAATTCATTTAGTTATTCTGTCTTTCAATAGAGAGTTTGATCTGTTTATATTCAGTGTTATTATTGATACATAAGGACTTACTCTGCCACTTTTTTG